AATCTCACTTACATTATGACCAGACACAAGCCATGGGGATTGCTGTTGGAGCAAATGCAACAATCACAACATAAATAGAAGGGGTTCAGCACGTGATTTTTTAAAAAAGGGGTGAGTATTCTGAAAAAAATGATGTGACAGCATGCAAGAGGGTGCAATCACTTTTTGTGATGCAGCATATCATGGCATCATCTTCATGGCAGCATACCTTCATACACTAATATCCCTTTGCTCTGAATCAATGGATCTTCATTACAGTATATGCTGTCATCAGCATATCATTGAATTGCTCTTAATCATGCACAACCAGAATGTATGGTGTGCAAAGAGGGAAGAAACAAATGTTACTTCAAAATAATATGATATATTGTGCAAATAACCAGAATAATGCAGGAATACTTACAATTTCTACTTGCTCAAAGTGCAATATCTACTCAGTATTTTGCCTATTGCTTACTGCTGGATTGCTGAACTTCAATAAGCAGCAGCATCTATCCAAACAACCATGGGATCCTGTGGATATCTGATATGTGGGGATCAACTGTGTCTCAATACAGGGTTTCAAAACTTACCATAGGGATGAAAATCAACAACTCCATCATGGGATTCCTCCGCATTGAATTATCCCATTTGCATCTTCTGACAGCTGTGTGTTCCTACCCTGAAGTCCTGGGCCTCAGGTGCTGCATTCATGTATGGCTTGCACCTTGATTCCATGATTGTTGGTGCTGGGAGCATCTTTGTGAAGAGTTTTAGGATCTAGTTGTGATCAACCATTCTGCACTGCTGGTAGTTGTACAAGTTGACCAACAAATGAATGATGATCCTCCTATCTCTAATCTCTTTAAATTGCAGCTGTTATTTCATCCTTGTTGCAAACTTTCCCTGAATCATCCTCATCCCCCACTCTGACATCTGTTGTAGAGATGTGTCCTCCCTGTTCAAAAGAAGTGCCTCCTCTTGCTGTTCAGTGTCATTCTATGTGCTCTTGATGAGGATATGCTCTCCTTCCAGAAAGGAAAATGCTGAATCAACAAAACAATTTTGGCACCACCACAAGCTTCATAGACCTCTTCCACCACCTTGTTGTAGATGCCACAATCAGCTATTGCACTGTCATGCCAAGTGTCAGGAGGACAGTTGAGAACAGGAACCCTGATCCCTCAATCAGGAGCAAAGACAAGCACCATGTTAACAAAGATACATTCTTTCCACATATTACTACAGTAAGTCCTTGGTTTGCTCCAATCTTCTGGCAACTGAGTGGACATTTTGATCCCATTCTGCAGCTGCCCAAGAAACACTTTGGTCTGCCAGACATGGATATTTCTTCCCATTTGCACTAACATGCTCATTGATTTCTTCTTCTTAGTAGGGGGACTGACCATGATGGTTGGATGTTTGTGGAGGGTGGAGAGGGTTGCATTGTAGTACTATTTGCCTGGAGAACTTCATCCACTTGTAGTACAAATCAGTCCACCACCACATGAGCCCAAATGTCATTGTCATTGCCCTTGTAGCAGACCCACTAGTTCTAAACCAGTAAAGGATCATTCCAAGGTAGCAAATGGCATCTGCTTCTACTATTGGCTTTCCCTTCCATTTTCCACTCCTGGCTGGTGAGAGTGTTGGTAGTAGTAACTGGTGGTACACCACCAATCTCCTTGTTGTCCTTCTTGTTGATTGTGTAGTAGTACTTGTTCTTGAAAACTGGAGAAAAAAGGTCAAGAAGCTCCCTCCTGAAGACCTTTTCTTGGTCAGCACCACAGTAGTTGAGCAAGGCCTGGTTATCACCAGGGTTGAAGAGGCTGAGGAAGGAATGCAGAATCAGCATACTATCCACCAGTAGTAATAGCAGTATTATGAATTGCAATTGGTGCTTGTGTTCTCTTGTCCCTCATGTACTATCTCTCCTCAGGGAAGAGATTTTCCTTCCCTTTTGCGGCCTCCAGGGCCTTCTTGTGCTGGTGGGCATCTAGCTGGATGAACCAGTAGAACAGAATACTACTAGTCTTGACAACTCCAATAGCTACTTCAGGAACACTCAACTACTATTACTAGTAGTAGACTAGTTCACCATGTACAATGTACAATAAGTCAGGGGTCATAATTTAGAGGGGAGCACAATGTGTCAAAATCAATATTCCATCCATGGCACCAATAAGAAAAAATTCCCATAAACTTTTTTCCATTGTTTTAGTACTGGTGCATAATACTAGTAGTACTAAAACTATTCAACTTGTGCAGTGAGTAGTCATAACTTTATCAATAATACTACTACTATAATAAAATAATTCTAAACTATTGCACCTAAACCAGCTTTTTGTGAGGATTCTGAATATACTATTTTTTAATATCAAATTATTTGTTGATACTAGTAGTACTACTACTACTGAGGATGTAGTGGGCAAAACAGATGAAGGACAGACAGTTCAATTTTTTGCTAGGAACTGGACTGGTTTCACAAAATTGGATGAAGGACAGACTATTTGTACTAGAATTACAGTACTAGTAATGTGGTTGTACTACCAGCCCTATGATATCAGTACAACAAACAACAAACAACAAACAGCAGTAACATCCAAGAAACACTTACTACTTGGCTCTTAGCAACTGTATGAGAGATGTGCATATGAAGTTTGAAAATCAGAGAGTAATTGGAAATGTTCTTGTGCATGGGGTCTTTCAGGTATACTTTTGCACCAGTGTCCTCATGCAGTAAAAATGAGATGAAAAAAAAACTTTTTGGGAAATTTTTCTTATTGGTACTACAGATGGAATGGATTTTTTTCATCCTGATGCTGAAAGACATGGGCATTCTTGCACACCCCTCTAAAATTATGATCCCTGCAATAAATCTCATTTGTAGAGATTGATTTTGGATTACGGTACGGTAGGAGGAGTACTACAAGTAGCTGTTGGTACTAGTAGTACTATGAGTACTAGTAGTATTGTCCTTACAGCACTTCCTGTATGGTACATACTTGTACCGTAGTTAAGCTTCTGGGCCCTCCAGTACCAATGCATGCATCCCCCTTTTTGAATTCCTCCCCTAGTAGAAAAACGTGGGTTAGTATTACATGGGAAAAATAACCCATGAAAGAACCTACTACTAGTAGTACTAGGAAACCACAAATAACCCATGAAATAACCCACAAATAACCCACAAATTTACAGTCATCTGGATTGATGGAGAACCCATTAATGTTGCACGAGATTACGTTTCTTCTGCTTTCCATTCCTTCCTTGTCCTGCTTTGGTGTCATCTGCTGGCCTCTTCCTAGACTGTTGCTGTTCATCATCTGCTATTCCTTTCTGGTCTGTCATGTATTCCACAATGTCTTCAATTGTGTCCCTTATGATATCTCTCCCACACCAAGTATAATCATTCTGCCAGGACTTGGGGAAGGATCTGAAAAGAATCTTCTTGATCTCTCTCTCTGATAAAGGCTCCCGGATGCCATGAAGAATGTTGGCTCTGGTACAACAGGTCTGTACTCTATCCGCGTGGGCTTCACAGGAGACCGAATGAGGTTTCCTGATAGCATCCGATTCCAAATATTCAACAACATCATCCCTGGCATACTTGGATGGCGCATAGAACTTTCTGAAGGTAAGGAGGGCTATTTTCCACTGTGCCTTGCTATCTCTTGATACTTCTGCTAATCTGTTATTGTTCCACATGCTGTTCCATTTCTGTCTGGGCCTATGTGCAAGGACCATTTGCCACTTCTTGTCAATTTGGTCCTCTGCTATTTCCAAGTCCAATAATGCATCTTCAAAGTCTTCTTGCACATGAAACAGTTCTTGTATTCCATGTTCCCCTGAGAAGGTTGTGCATGTCTTTGATAGCTTTCTTACTGGGTTTCTGAGATTCACGGTCATCGAGACTGTCTTCAACTGGGCTGGATCAAAGCTGTTTGTGAGTCTGAGACAGGATCGGTGTGTTTGTTTGGAGGAGTTGGTATTCTTATTTGGTTTCACCATGGTCGATGTATTATTTTTGGTTGTTTTTCTTAATGGTTGATTAATTTTTCGATACATGAAAAACCGCTTTAGTAATTACTGTGCATGAGATTACGTGTACTCTTAGTAAGTGTTTAAGTGTGTATGAAAATTGAATTATAAGATYAGAATTATTCGAAGATTACCAAGCGCGTTCACGAGAATTCCGAAGTTCCGATTAGATCCTCACGTAGATCTGGTAGTGAATCTACATGAAGGTTCTTCTATTCCGGACTCGTGACATCTCTGTTCTTCGTGAGGTATTTCTCGCACCTCGTATCTTGGACCTCTTATGATCCTTAATAAGATGGATCCTACGATACATACATAGGAAGGGTACCTTACGATAGGTACGTAGGAATGGTATGTTCCTTCATTCCTTTCTTCGAAGCTCCACACCGTACGTATACTTCMGATACAGTACGTACGTATCTGTTGCAAATGTTGTTTTCTCACTGTTTTTAATTTTTGAAAATAGTCCCAGCAGGTTTGTGGGTTATTCATGGGTTACGTTGTGGGTTATTTCATGGGTTATTTCATGGGTTATTCGTGGGTTCACCCAGGAACCACGTTTTTGGATTGTGGGTTATTTTTTGAGAAAAATAAGCCACGAAATCATGCCCCCGATGTTTGATTACAAAGGGGGGACGCGCGCGTGTGGGTTGGTTCCGGAGGGCCCTGTCCATACGTAGCATACCCACAGTGCCACACCTGCCCCTACGGTATAGCCTACGAACCCGTGCTGCGTGCAGGACACGGGACCACGCACCGCATCGGAGGCTGCACGCCAATCGTGGATCGATTCGTGAAAGCCGATCCGGAAATTTTCAAATACGAGTCCCTGCGGCACCGGTTTGCGTGGACCAATGCCGTGCCAAAAAAGGCTGCCCGACCGGCGCACGCTTCTGTCGTGCAAACGACGTTGTGGACGATGGTTCACTAAACAGGGGCCCTCGACGACTCCGTTCGTACCGAGAACGCCGTTCGCGTCAACGCACCCTTTTCAAACTCTATTTTTTGGCGGGGCAATGCCCGCATCCCGCAGGGAAGGGAATCGAATCCAAACCTTTCACCTACCGTACGTACGGAACGGTACTCGGAGGTATCTGGCGCTACCACACGGAATACATATACGACATGCAGCGCAGCGCAGCACAGGGCACCGCAATTGCTTTTGCGTAGGTACTTGTACCTTATGCACGCGTACGCTGCGGCATGGATTCGCTTCGAAGCCAGAATCGCAGGACTTTTCTTTTTTTGGCAAAAGGTTTGTTCGTCCACTGGTTATTCTTTTTTACCACCGTCTCTTCAATCCATCCCTCCGACCATCCACCATGAAGACCTTTTCCCCCCAACTGCTCGTAACCTTTGCCGCTCTCTTATCGGTAGCCTCCGCGGCCTCCGAGGCCGGATCCGAAGCGGCCGTGGCGCTTACTCCCCCGGAACCCAGGGATCTCACCCAGTCTCGACGAAAACTCGACGACCAGGAGCCCTGGGACACCGGCACGAAGGTCTACAACGAATTCCCCAACCAGGGCTGGTGGTCCGGCACCATCACCGCCTACGACCCCGTCGCCGAGATGTACACGGTGACCTGGGAGGACGGCTCCACGGACTACTACGACGACGGCGACAAGATCGACGAAATGGTCGCCTACGCCCAGAACGACCCCCAGAACAACCCCGCCGGCGGATCCACGGACCAGTCGGGTTCCTACCCCACCGGAACTGCGGTCTCCATGTTCGAGGACGGTGAGTGGTACGACGGCGTCATCATCAAATACGGAAGCGGCACCTACACCGTGGAGTGGGACGAAGACGGCGAGATCGAAGAAATCGCCGCCGGATCCATCATGGACCAGATGGTCCAGGACGCCCTCGGCGACGACGACGAGGCCCCCGAGGGTTTCGACGGCGGTCCTTCCGACAGCGGTTCTTCCTCGGGAGACATTGCCGTCGGAACCCCCGTCTCGGTCTTTGAAGACGGAGAGTGGTGGGACGGAACCGTCTCGGACTACTCCGACAACACCTACACCATCGAGTGGAAGGACGGAAGCACCAACGAATACGATGACTTTGGGGACGACCTGGAGGAACTCAAGCAGGCCGTCGAGGACTACATGGCAGACGACGACGAAGTCCCGGAATCCGTCGGCAGCGGACCCAAGTTCCCCCTCGGCACCCCCGTCTCGGACTACGAGGACGGCGAGTGGGTCGAGGGAGAAGTCGTCGACTTTGACGACGGAAGCTACGTTGTCGAGTGGGAGGACGAGGACGAGCTCGAGTACTACGAATCTAGCAACGCCGAAGACATGCAGGCCCTGGGCAACATGGCTTCCTACTCCAACAAGGACGACGACGCCCCCCCCGACTCGTACTTTGAGGAAGAAGACCTCTGGAAGGTCGGAACCCCCGTCGCCATCACGGAGGACGACAACCTCTGGTACGGAGAGATCAGCGGCTTCAACAACGGCGAGTACTCCATCGACTGGGAGAACGGAGAGCGGGAGTGGCTCGACAACTTCGACCTCGTCAACGAGATGGTCTCCAACGCCGCCCTGGCGCCCAAGAAGGGCATGTCCGCGGTCGGAAAAACCTTTTTGTCGCTCTTTCTGATCGGCGTCTGCGCCGCCGGCGCGGTCTTTGGCTACCGGTTCTACGAAGAGAACCAGAAGCAACGCCAAACGCGGGAGGGAGACCTCTCCCTGGAGGACGGCGGCGCCCGGTCCTTCCGGGACAACGCCGACGAGCTCCCCAAGATCATCTAAGCAACCACGCGCCCACCAAACCAAATTAAACCAAACCGCATGGCTTCTCTGCCACCATACAAGCTTCCCACTCGTACCACTATACATTCCAACATTTAGACACCACTGCACAATAATAATAATACTATAACATTAGTAACATACAGCGATTTTTATTTCTATCCGTCACTAGTTGTGGCTGCCCGCCGTGTCGCGATGCAGCAACACCAGAAAGGAACGACACCCATCGGTACGAGACCGCACGGCAACCGACACCCTGCCAACGCATTCTCGAGTTGCAAGACACAAACTTGGAACCAACAAGCTGTCCAAACCCGGGAAAGGACACAGAATCTGCGCAAGTACTGTAGCTGTACGGCAAAAGCCAAACGTTCTGGTGCTTTGCGGAACTCAAAAATCTTCCGCAGTAGAGAGGCTGTTCTATAAGTAATTTTTATCCTAGCTAGTGCTTACAGCAATACGGTTGTCGGGGCGAAATCCGGTGGTCCGGGAGCGTCGTTTCTCGTTTCCCCCCTGTCTCTCTCTCTCTCGCTCTGCGTGTGCGCGCCTGTGCCCCGGCTACCAGCCAAAGTTGTACGGCTTGTCGTAGAAGCGCTCGTCCTCGTCCTCGATCTCGCACCACCGCCGGTCCTCGGGCCACTTGGACGGCCAGTCTTTGCACTCGCAAAAGGTCTTGAAGTGCGGCCTGGCCCAGCTCTGCAGCGGCCGGGCGTTCTCCACGCTTACGATCTTTGTGGGGTCGGCCTCGTCGTAGGTGACGGTGGACGCCGTGTCGGGTGTGCAGGAACCGACGGCGCTCCCGGGGGGGGCGATCCGTTCCGCGGTCAGCCGGCGGATCTCGGCGAGCTGCCGGGTGTGGATCCGGATGGGGTCCTTCAGGACCCGCCAGTGGTTCGTCCCGGTCCGGGACTCCGAGACGAAGTTCCCGTAGCACGGCGGGACGGTCTGCGAGCCCGAGTACCGAAAGTAGTACTCCGTCCGGACCCCCAGCATGGGCCAGTAGTTGAACCACTCGAGCTCCTCGAACTGGAAGAGCGCGCGAAAGTCCCGGTGGAGGGCCTCCGTGTGGTTCCCCCCGTGGTGCTCCTCCCGCATGGAGTGGTAGAGGGCCTCGTCGGCCTCCATCTTTTTCGATTGCTCCCCGATCCAGGTATCCCAGTCCTTGTCTTCCGCCGGCCCCCAGTTGGCCTCCTCCATGCGGAGCCTCGTGTGGGTGTGGTTCGGGTCGGTCCGGTGCCGGTCGTTGTGGAGGATGACGTCGTGGGCCGTTTGGAACCGGGGGGTCGCGGAACCGGGTTTCGCACCCTTGCGCAGGCTCCGCTCCTTCCGCTTCAGCGGGAAGCACCCGGGGTAGGAAAGCCGGATCGGCTCCAGCCCGCACGCGGTCCGGACCTCGTACTCCCTCCGCCTCCACTGGCAGATGACCTTGTCGAGGAAGGGGTACGGGGCGACGTCGTCGTAGGCCTGCGCAAAGACCGCGACGGTCGCCACCTCGTTGTTGATCCCGGCCTCCCGGGCCGTCACGCTGTAGAAATGGTGGAGCTGGATCTCCGCGTCGTACCGGACGCCGTCCTGGGTGTGCTCGGAGGGCGTGTGCAGGTCCGTGTGGCTGAGGTGCCACCACTGGCTAAAGCCCTTGGAAAAGTCGATCCGTCCGAACCGGCTGCCGACGCCCTCCTTGCGGCACTCGAGCTTGACGCCGTCCGGGACCCCGTCGGGGTCGTCCCGGAAGTCGTCGTAGACCGCGATGGGCTGGGATATCCGCAGCGCGTGGCGTTCGATGGTAAAGGCGTCGGCCTCGATGAGCTGTTCCATCGTGCACGTCGAGTCCTCGTACTTCATCCAGTGGATGTCCTGGGGGAAACGAGCGACACAAGGAAAAGAAAACGAGAACGAGAAGGCAAAACAAAAACCCGATCAGTCGCCCGTGGCTTGGGGTGGCGACAAGCGACAAGCGGCAGGTGCAGAGAGCCGTGCACTCTATAGTGGCACGCAAAGAACGGAACGGAACGGAACGGAACGCAACGCAACGCAACGCAACGCAACGACAAGACAGAATACGGCACGACTTACGATGCACTCGTTGGCAAGCCAGTCGGTCCCCGGCTCTTTCCCGACGGCCCTCTGCAGGTCGATCGGGGACTGGTGGTGCCGGCTGCACCGGTCCGGGTCGGACGCGGGGCACCACCGGCAGTAGTTTCGGTTCACGGCCCAGGCGCGCCCGGTTTCCCACTTGTCCGGGTAGGCCAGGCAGGACTGGAGGGCGTCTCGCTCGTCGCACTCGATGTTCTCCCAGTCCGAGGGCCCGTAGTCCGTGAAGCCATCGGGCCTCTGGACCGTCGCGTCGTAGTTGAATCGATCGAGGTACAATCCGTTCCCGGTGAGGACGTTGGTGTTCTCCTGTCCCTCCGCCGGATGCAGCTGCGTGCCAATGACCAGTACGCCGGCGAGGAGGAGGAGGGTCCGTTCGATGTGGCCTCTTGCCATGGTTGGATCGAAACGGGGGAAGGGTGGGGCGTTGCTTGCTTCGACGGATTGCTGGTGAAAACACTGGAGCGGGGCTTCGCAGTGGCACGGGGGATCTCCGCAAGAGTGTGCTTTCCGTCGGACGCGTTGCTTCCGAACAGACAGGATGGTACGTACGGTACCTGTACTCGTATCTGGCATCACAGCAGACTCGTTCCTGGGAAGGCAGACGTATCGTGCGAGGTACGAATACTCGTAGCAGATACCCTGAGTACGGTATGTTGTATGTGGAACGGGGACAGAATGGTACTCGTTACGGAACTCGCGCCATAATTGTATCACCCCTCTTGATAAAAATTAACCTGTCGTCATTTTTTGCCTCATCTTTTGAGCGGGGGAGGAAAAAGAGGTGCGCAATATCGGTACTAGTAAGTACGTACGTACTCGTAGACTGCGTTCTGCTGCGAAGAAAGAACGAGAAACATGGGGGAGCAATTCAGTGCGTCCGCATTTGGCGGGAATCGATTCCCGGATCACGAATTTATGATCGAAAGACTGCCCGGTCGTGTCAAGCACGAAGGGTTTTCTCGAGAAAACCTGAAAACGAGACGTTTCGACCGCCTCGGGGTTTGCAACTCAAAAACCCTTGCAGCAACCCAAGGACGAGAATGGAATCATCCCAAGCATAGCAACCTACACCGGAAATCACAGATCCGCAGCAGCAGCACCCGGTGGCCGATAGAGCCCCATCTCTGGGTTTTAAAAGGCAGAAAGCAGTCCGGAAACAAACAAGTGTCTTGCGGCCATTTCCGGCGTTGGCAAGAGTTCTCTCGTAGCAGCCTCCACACGCCATCTCCTCTCTCCCCTCAGAAGCCAATGAGAGTCTCCACGTCCGATCCGAGCCTGGATGCACCGCTTTCGTCCTCGCCCCCCGATCGGGAATCGCCGGGAGCGGTATGCTCGTGCTCGTTTTTGAGGTGGTTCACCCAAACACGGCGCGGAAGGGACGCTCTGGCCGTCCCCGGGGATCGGGACAGCGGCGATCCATGCGATCGGGTGGAGCTTACCGGCAGCTCTTCCAACCTCGATGGATTCCCGGAACCACCCCGTGACGACGGTGCGCCCGGGTGCGACGGGGACGACCGGGACGACCTCCGCACCACCGGTGGGGACAGCGACGACGACGACGATGACGACGACGACGATGACGAGGTTCGCAACGATCCCCCCGGCGATGGTTCGCTTCGGAACCCGGGGGCGGGCTCGGGCGCGCCAGTCGAGATGGATGCCAGTGGTGTGGGCTCCGATGCGGACGCGGACGCAGACGCGGACGCTCCTGCGGATAGAGAGGCGGACGCGGATGGCGTTTCGTCTGTTCTCTGCAAGAACGTGGACGCGTTGTATCGGAAACGCTTCTTGGACGCGATGGAACGCGGGATCATCAATCTTGTGCTTTCTGGTGTCGCGTTTCTCGACCCCTCGGAGAACAAGGCCTGCAAGAACATGACATGCGTCAAAAAGCTCGCAAAAGCCAGAATGAACGGGATCAAAATTAAGATGGAAGACACGATCGATCAAAAGACAACGATCCTTGTCATGACGACCGCATCAAACAACAAGGAAGAAGCCAGCATTCGTTCATTCAAAGCCCTTAAATGCTCCCTGCTGGGTATACCGATAGTACCCATAGATTGGGTATGGGATTGCATTCGCATGGGCAGGATCAAGATTCCAAAACACTTCATCCGAACATTGCTAATGTCCTCAACCTCGCAGACGACTTCGGGAACGCCACCTATGGACGAACGCGCTAGGTATGGGGTATTGCGTTTGGCAACCATGCAGTGCATTGATCCAAAGAATCTCCTCTTCCGGAACACGACTGTCTTTATGTACGGAAAATATACCAGTGAGAGAAAGAAAAGCATCGTCGAATTGCTGAGAGCAGGTGGTGCGAACGTAATCTCTACGGTCCGGAACGCTAGATCCGAATTAGAGACTCTCGCGGATTCTGATGGAAGGGCAATGTCACCCTCGGTATCCCACAAAAAGTTTGTTCTCTTAACAGGAGATCGAGGCCTTCCCGTGCACAAACCCCTGCTCAAGGTTGTCGAGGACGCTCTGCGAGCTGCTTCGTCACGAACCATATACGTCGTTGATTCCAGCTGGGTGGGCCATTCGATAGCGTGCGCCGACATGCTTGCACCGGTTCTCTTCAAATCCAACGTTGCGGTCGGTTTGTGGAAGCTGAGCAAAGATCTCCCGAAAGAAGCCCAGAAACTGTCCGATGGCACGGTGGGTGGTGTTGGCGAAAAATCAGAGGCTGATCTTTTTGGGAAGAAAACACGTATTCCTTTGAAATAGACTACGTACGTACTGTTGTGTACGAGTGTTCAACTAAAACATACATATATTATAATACTGTAGCTCTGTACTTACCAGTTTCCCATCACTTAATCAACCGAGATAAAGTAGTTGAGTGTCCCCTAAATCAACCGGGATAAAGTCATTGAATGTCCCCTGGTCGGTGTTTCCCCTGGTCGATCGTTTGCGAGCCCTTTGTCTACGCCGGAGAGATGGTTCGGCATTTTGGACAAAAGACCAGTGCATAGTGAACGGGGGCCTGGAGCCGTCGCTGGCAGCCCTTGCACCTCACTATGCGCGAGGAACTGTTCGAGATGGCGTGCCTGGTCTCCGTCGTCCCCCGTGTTTCCAAAAGGCTGGGCCTCCTCGGCTGTCTCTTTCGAACCCCGGAAAGAGACGGAGAGGACGCGGAGTGGTCCTCTCTCGGCAAGGCCGAAGCCGAAAAGCTGCGGGGGGTACCGGGCTTTTGGTAGGGGCAGCCGTCGAGGCTTGTGCTGCTCTGCTCGTATTCCTCCATGGCCTTTTGCTGGCTCCGCACGGACTCGTCGATGCCCCCGGCGTCGTCGGTGTCGAAAGGTGCTGCTTGGCTCTCTTCCACTGCGGTGCAACTCCATTTTTCATCTAGATTCGAAGGCGCCTTGGTCGTTTTCGATGATGATTCGAGCTTCGACAACTGTATGGCTAGGCGAAGATCTCTATCGTTTTCGTCGTCTAGGTACTCGTAGGTCACTTCGCTGTGTTTGGCAACCGGGGTGCTGTCCGGCTCCTTTCTCGGGGACAAAGGTGCATCGGTACGCTTCGTGAGCCCTTCGGTTTCCCCTCGTGCCGACCGTACCCCGAGAGTCCTGTTCGCAGGCAAGGCCGACCGGGATAGAGAATTGTCGAGACTTTGACCTCCGAAGGATGTAAAACTCCGGTCCAGAACGTGAGAAGAAGGTCTCCGGGTTTCTGTCGCGAAGATGCAATCCTCGCTCTCGTCTTGGGGAAGCCCCCAACTTCCCAGGCCTAGTTCGCGTTCCGCGCACGCGGCTTCTTCCAATGCCGATTGATAAAACGAACCCGGTGAGTCATCGGACACGGTGTCTTCTGTCTGTGTTGAGCTATTCCCAGCAGGAGCCAGATCACTTTCATCTTCTTGACCATGATCCTTGCCCCGATTTTGTCCCTGCAGCGACAAGACTTCTGCTTCGTCCAGAGCACTGTCTTCGAGGGCGGCCCGATAAAACTGACTGATCGGGTTGTTTTTGGAGGAGGCTGCGGTGCTTTCACCCAGCGTGCAGCAATCTTCCTTGGCAGCAGTCTCGATCTGATTGAGGAACTCTGGTTGTTCCACTACCAGCTCTCGTTGCCGCTTCAGCAGCTCTTCTTCCTCTTCTTCGGTTAGGGTGGCTTCTTCGAGTGCCGCTTGGTAAAACGCGCTGAGTTCCGATGCCACCGTTGGAAGGGAGTTTGGGGGAGCCCATTCGTCGGCTGTAGTGACCGTAAACGGAGGGGACTGGGACATTCCCCCTGCAGTTTCGAAGTGAGCGACGTTGCAGTCTGCGCTCTGGCTTCGTTGCAACCGATCGTCGGGTGGAAAAAAGCCGTAAGCCTCCCAATGGTGGTCTTCGGTGATGCCGATTACGCCTTCGGGGATGGTGGGGTACAGCGAAGAAGACGACGGCGCAGTGCTGTCGATGCTGAAGATATCGTTGCTCTTGTAGTTGCTTGGCGCAGAATTTCTTCTTCCCTGGCGATGGCTCGAAGGAGCCGAGCGCTGGTTGCTCGGACTGTTCAACAGAGCCTGGCAAATCGATACGCTGGTCCGGATGTGAGGACCCTCGGTTGCGCCAGGTCTTGTGGGAGGCCTTGGCCCCCGAGGAGAGCGACGGTCTTCGAGGTCTGGTTTCGGGGTGCTGCTGCCGGTGATGCTTAGAAAGTCCACGCTGCTGGACAGGGTTGAACAGCTGTGGAATGTGTTGCTTTGCGAGAATGTCAGATCTGTATACGTGCAGGTGCAGGTACCATCCCCGTCCTCCTCGGCTTTAGCGTACGCTTCGCACTTCTGGCTTCCGAGAAAGGACGACCGCAGGTCCATTCCTTCCGCAAAACTCGTATTGGGAGACAATCGGGTGTCATTTCTAGCACTGTATTTGGTACTCACACTGGCGCCCAGATGTTGTGCTTCGCCTTCGCTTTCTCCTAGTCTCCCACGAGGATCGTCTGCACTAGGGGCATGGGAGAAACGAGAAGGGGAATTGGGAAAGCTAGAAGACATACTTTTCGGCACCCAAGACTGCCGGAAATCGGAAAAATATTTTTAGGAGTAGTAGCACGATGCCAGAAATTCAATGGATTGTACCAATCCTCAACAATAGACTTCCGATACGATGCTCTCACTTAGCCAATCGGTCCGTTTTGGAATTTCTGCAAGCATCGAATGCGTGAGCGTTCCAAAAAACTAGAAAATAATCGGAATGGAACAGAAGTCACGCATTCAATTGCTCTGCGGTGGCTTTTCCTTCGTAGCGGTTGTAAAAGATCAACGTAGACTAAGATTCCAGAAAAAGAATTCTTTAATTGTTTTCTTCGATGAAAGATACTGTATTACTTTACTAAGTACTTCTACTGAAAAGGGAAGATACCATATTACTTAACGTTCGGGGGTGTAAAGCTTATGTAAGGACGAACACTGATATTCGTAATATTATGACAAACGAAAAGCCTCGCACAAAGGTTCAATCCTGTTTATTGTTTCGCACGTCCAAAATGACCGGGTTTGTACTTCTCTGACCAAAAAAAGCTCCTCGGTTGCCGCCTCTTGAATCGGTAGCAATCATTGGGTCAAAGACCAAACTGATGGAAGCACTCTCGATGGAAGAATGGTTCTCTGTTGCTTCTGTCGTGTCCCAAGGACTCGTAGTGCCGATGAGACCATTTAGGTTCTGCCGGAAGCGTATCCCCAGCGACCAAAACGCACTCGTTCGACAATGTGACGACTGGAACTCGGCTCTGACGGAAGACCCCGTCGGAATATCATTCCGTTCAACCGTCTTGCACGATCACGCGTGTCATACTGGAGTCTATCCAGTGGCGATTGGTTCCTCTTTCAGGACTTCAACAAGGCAGATGCAAATATTTACTAGTAATATTTATGACGTCCAAATTCGGAGGGACTCACTCACTTCGACCAGTTCGACTAGTACTACTACTAGTTAGATCGGCATCCCGTAATGGGTCATTCCCGTAAACATAGAATCTATGCTGACATACTTTACGTCTATGACTCAACGGGAATAAGTATGTAAAGGCATAGAATCATAGAAAATGAATTATGGCGCGCTACATGTGCTTAATTTAGGAATATGGAATTTTGCTTCAAATTAACAGAAAATAACTGCATTCTCGCCAAATATTGAGAACTCTGAAACACAAAGTATTGAGAACACATGGTGCCAGCAAGCCGGGGGAGCCCGCCAAAACAAATCTAAAGTGTCACAAAGTGCGCCAAAACAAATCCAGGTGAACCACGACCAGTTCACTATACAAAATCTGAAGTATATTAGCAGTATCCTCACTAAAAGGGCATCGATACCATGGAAGAACCCCTTTCTGGAATCATGTCAACAGGAATTAAAAGTTGAGAACCCTGAGAACCCCCCCCCCCTTCCCCAGGGGAGGAACTGGTTGGAATGCAGCAAAACGCGTGTAGTTCACGTGTTGATTCCGGCATCAATTCCGACACAAAAAGAACAACGTCGATTCCAAAGATGGTTTTAACAAGACAGGGACAGCAGCAGCAACAAGAAGCTCCAGCACCAATCGTTGCTGGTGGAGGAGGCAGAAGATCTGGAACAACCAACTATTCCACTCAGGAAACCATTGACTTGATGTACACCATCTTGGCAAGGCTTCCTATTGGGAGTGRYCAGTGGAATGAAGTAGWAGCCACTCACGCCCAAMMCTATCCTTACACCAATAGGGATGTCCATTCCATCCGTAGGAAGTTTGCATCCCTTCATAGGAAGAACATTCCTACTGGAGATCCTAACTGTCCTTTGGCAGTGAGACTAGCCAAGAGGGCCAAGCGCTTGATTGKAGAGAAGGCAGATATTGGAGATGGAGAGGAGCACTTTGATATTGAAGAAGGATATGTGCATCCTGATGGAAGGAATGGTGATCCTGAAGGAAATCATCGCGCTCCAGCTGCTGAAAACAGCAACAGCAGCAACAACAGTGGCAACGTTAGTC